GGAAACTGGGGACACAAAACTTGGCCAAAATTGGCACAAAAATTTCCAAGCGTGCCCCGCTCCGTTTCAATCCACGATCTGTTCTCCGCTCCGTTCCTCGCTCCGTTTCCCGCTCTGTTCCATGCTCCGTTTCCCGCTCCGTTCCACGCTCCGTTTCCCGCTCCGTTCCACGCTCCAATCCCCGCTATGTTCTACGCTGCGTTTCACGCTCCGTCCCTAGCTCAGTTCCCTGTTTTATTCTGTTCATGATAGACGAAAGAAAACTAAGTTCTCTCTTCTGATCACTCTTGACAATTATTGAACAAGTAGTACCCCATTGATCTCATACAGACGCGCAAGGTTGTCCGCTAACAGTTCCCAGCAGTATACTAGTCTAAACTACTATACTAAACGGCTCGTATTTTCGAGAAGGTCAAGAACGCGCAAGCAGTGAAACTGAAAAACTGAGAATGAGACAGGAGAAGGACTCTTCCCCTCACCCAGTCGATTTTGAGAAAACTGACAAACTGACAAAAAGAACTGAATTTGCACAACCTACTAGTGATTTTGGCTTGCAGCGACTGGTAAACCTAGTTTTAGCACTTCAAACGAACGCCGGTCACTTAGGATTCCAAAGATGCAGCACCATCATCCCGGCATTGTGAAGGCATAATCTTGTCAAGTTTAACCCTTAACAATCTCATGGTCTCCAAATTGTTCCAGTACGAGAAGCAGCAGAGAGGTTGGTATTATCAATTGAGTTGATTCAGTGCGTGAATAATATTGGCCACAACAGAGAGATCTGAGAATAGCCATGTAGGGGGTTACTAACATTACTGGAGCTAAAGTTCTGTTAACGGACATTCCCGTGAGCAGCACTGAGTCCGCTCTACCTTCCTATCAAACCCCTAGTAGCAGCCCCCCGGGGGTGTGCTTCCTTATATAAGCCATATATGTATGTGCCGCCCCAAAGGGTAGGGTTTTTGCGCCGTTTTAGTCTGAAAACGGGTATAGACTTGGCCCATTTTGGTCTGGAATCGGGTACAGTAATCAAGGGAACCACAGGATTGTATGAACGTGTTCATTGTTTCAATTCCAAATGAGGTAGAAAGAAAGATCGAGAGAAATATTTGAATTCCAAATTAGTTTTAAGAAATGTTTTCGTTCCTGTTCTAATCTAAGTAATGAAGAAATAATTTCTTAAAGGCCAGGTCCCGGTTGTTCAAAAGCTGGATAGCGCTATTCAGCGGATAAGTATTTGGGAAACCAATTGCGTTATCGGCTGGATTGACATTTATCCATCGGATAGCGCTATGACTTTTGAACAACTGGGGCCAGGTCTGAAATAGGGTTAAAAATCGACACTTGTTGGTCTGAAATAGGATCAGGATTTGGAGAACCGGGCGGGACACCCCCACCAATAATTCCCGGGAATATCCCCTCCTCCCGGGGAAGCAGCTTAGGAGGATCATTCCTATATTAAGTGGCCGCTTCCAGTTGTAGACCCTATTCTTGTGTTTTCCAGGAGAGTCCTCTTGCATGAGTTTCAGGGGTGTTAGTAATATCATTACTTACTGATAATTTAGCTTCTTTCATTCTCAAATACAGTTCATCCAAGCCCAAAATTTGCTGGAAAAACCATTGACCTAAAATAAAAAAAGGATGATGTTGAAGTCATATATTGCAAATTGAAGTTATTGAAAGTTTCCTTTCACAGGTTAAGATGAACTGAGCAAAATGGCCTGCTCCCAATGGCTCCTCATAGCTCGAACGGTAGAGCACTGCAGCGCTAACGCAGTTCTAAAATTTTTCTATATGATAATATAAAATTATTTTGTAGTTCAACTGTAAATATTGGAGAGACTTACTAGAGTAACGTTTACGCCAAACGATCAATTTTTCTCACTTTACGTGTCGTTTATTCCTCTTTAAAAGTACGCGCTAATAACGCCACTTTTATCCATAAGGATTGTTTTGAGCTGTTTTTATCTGATCATTTTCCATTTGAGAATTTTTAACTTGAATTTGACCTTTGCCGTTTACCGTAAAGGTGACTCTAGAGAGGCTAAGCATCACGTGTATGTCAAACGGCAAACGCGAATTTGTACCACGTGACCATGTAAATTTCCCCATTACTTGTCGTTTACTGTTCATTATTTCTACACATAAATTAGTAGTTTCACCCAATTTTTTATCCATAAGAATGGAAATAGAGTTTAGTTCCCAGAGGAGAGAGATGCTTTTGTTCTTGACCACCAACATGGCGGCCGTGACGTCACGTGCAAACCAGCAATATTTTGAAATCGTATACATGAAGCAATCCTACACTGTACGAGCGTACAAAAGCTAGGTTTTATTACTAGAGGCTGCTAGAGCGCCGGAAGTATCAATTCACCATTTTCACATAGACCATAATGAAACTTGTTTACCTTCCAAAATTTTGCATAATTTTTGGGCGCTTTCCATTTAGGAAAAAAACCCGGAAATTTCGGTGGGAGCAAAAGTGGAATTTCCGATTGGTAAAAAGTTCTTCCATTTGGTCGTAAACCCCGGTACGTCGCGGTGCCCGACGGTGGACCTGGAACTGGTACAAACTACGAGAAACGTAAATGGAACACGACATTCCGTTCGGAAATTCCAACCTGGGAAACGGGCCTACCTTTTTAGATTTTCCACCTTTTCTGGGAATTTTCCAGTGGGATGAGCCGACGAAACGTGTTCCATTTACCGCCGAACCGGAAATTGCGGAAATTTTGACTAAATGGAAAGCGCACTTTGCTTCCAATTTCTCTGTCGTCCCAAGAGAAAACGAAGACAATGGTTATGCAAAAAAAGACGTATTATGGTCTATGTGATTGGTGAATAAAGCCTAATACCTAGAGACAATACTGAATAAACAGTGTCATGTCCATTTGCGGCTGTAACAAATGATAATTTGTAGCGTAGCCACCTGTTGATAGTGTTTTATTTACTTTTTTTTATTATTTAATTTCATGCATTGTAAAGATGTATGCTTTCGGGACTAGAATGCCTATCAAATATAACTAAGACTTAATTTGTAAAACTGTCCATTTTATTTTAAAAATAAGGAAGAATAAATTGTTCAAATAGATACTGATAGGGGCAGGAAATAAAAAGCGAATGTATATGACAGATAAATTTATAGGTAAACAAATCAAAGCGAACGAGCCGACTTGAACAATAAATTTTGAAATGCAAATCTCATAATTTGAAATATATTCTCTAAATTACCCCTTATTTTCAGTACAATTTATCATATTTCACTTGCAGTCTATGGCACTGGTCGTCGATTTAGTAGAGATGTGTGCGATTGCACTTAAATATAATTGAATTAAACTAGAGATAATAAGCGGTTTCTATAAATTTTCACACATTATTCACTTCATTAATTTCGCTTTGTTTACAGAATAAACGGCTATTATAAATTTTCCTTTTCTTCTAACAATAAGATAGGCTTAATAATCGGACCTAAGCACCGTCTCTGGTTGCGGAAACGAAATCCATTTGAAGCTATTCCCTCGATGATACAGCGCAGGTAAGAAATTGCGAGTCGTAATTCAACCCGAATTCAATACCGAAGGCAACTCAACTCTGATGAGTCAATGCTGACAAGAAACCAGCCCTGCTCTAACTATTTTTCGGATTCCTTCCACCGGTTTTGGCTTGTATTAAAACCCTTATAAACTACCGTCTGTCGCGCGAAAACCGAGTCGCAAAAACGAGATTAATGTATCAACAATCTCGCACAAATTCATCTCTATACGGTTTTTCAAGCCTGAGTTATTCGTAGAGGTATTTCAGTCCAAATAACAATTATAGAAGTTTTTATCAGTATGATGACACCATGATCGAGTCCCACAGAACATCTGTTTCTCTGTTGTCTCTTAGTTTACCAATGAAACTGATTAATCATCAATCGACACTAAATAAAAATTATTAACAAGAGAGTGGTTAAATAGAGATTGAATCCGGTCAAATGATAAGTGGTTTGATCATTTTATACCGACTTAGGAACTGAGCCACGCGAAGACCTAATAGAAATTCAAACATGATTCCTAAACGAAAAATCATATTGACCTGAAAACTGGTAAAACGATAAGTTGTTAGGAAGTATTATCCCATCAGTATTGTATTATGAAACGTAAAAATCAGGCCCGGGTTGTTCAAACGTTGGATAGCGCTATCCAGCGGATAAATATTGGAGAAACTAAATATTGGAGATTTATCCAGCGGATAGTGCTATGGCACCCTTTAAACATCTAGGGCCAGAAGGATTGGTGAAAAATTGTATTTATTTCAAAATATGATGCAAACCAGTGAGGAGGTAAAAATGTCTTTAGTTCAGTTTATCACTGTAACACCTCACTGAGTTAGATGATGGGATTACTAGAGGATAGCTAAAATATCATAAAAAAGAAAGTTCGATGCAAAAATCACAAGTGCCCTACGAATGAATGAATGAATGAATGAATGCCCTGAACCCCACGAATCTGATAAGAGAGCGTCTAATCGCCCAGTAATTTTGAATTTTCTCGGCTGCCCGTATGCAAATGTTAGTGAGAATGGAATAGCCGAGATTATCAGTGATAAACCATATTTTTAAGCAGGAAAAATTATTTACTTTACCAGCTAAATCAGACTTTCCTGCGAGAAATTTAATTTCCTTTAAACTCCTAAAGTGTTTCCCCTATTTTTTTAAAAGGCGAAGTTAAACTGCTCTCGTAATTTTCGTGTTAGCCTAGATATTTGTTAACTTTTACTGTTTAAGTGATCCTGAATTATACGCCATCTTCTTTATGCTCTTGTACCCCCAGGGACGTCAAAAACCTCACATGTCTACCCCCACTATGTACATGTATCTTTAACAACATCATTACATATCAGCTCTTTGCTTCTCCTTAACCCTGTATCTCACTGCTACCCTCTCAGGCAATTTTTTTCATTGTGCTGAACGTGTAATATTTTCGCGTTAAACCTTATTGCCACGTATTCCTAAGAGGTATAATGAAGACCACGGTAGATTTTCCCTCATTAGAAGCAAGATGTCTACCGAGCACCAATTCTGTGTACACTTCTTCTCGATTTTCTTCACATTTGCTCTCATTTACCAAGAAATTGAGGGTATGAACGATAGCGAAATTGATGTTTTTATTGTGTGTTTCATACATACATGCTCGTAAAATTTTGATTTAGTGCTGAAGAACTGTAAGTTACAAGAAACGCTTTGATTTCACGAAGGAAGAAGCATTGTTCACAAGTAGTTACTTTTTAATTAACCCAGTATCTTTATGGTCAAAACATGACGAATAGTCGTACAGTGACACTTAATAGTTTGTTCTTATTTCCACCACAGGACTCAGCTTCAAAGCAGGAAAATTCAATGTGACCACAACTTTGAGTCTGTTTGCCTGTAAGAATGTTTCTTTTGAGGAGCCTTTTCACGGTGGACAAGAAATTAAAATCTTCATTTCTAAAAGCCATGCAACGGAAGGTTCTACTCGAGCTCGTGGAAATGGTGCAGCAATTTGGGTGGAATCTGTGAATAACAAGGCATTTACTGTCTGTGTTTTGGAGTACGGAGATGGCTCAAGTAGCGCTTCGCAAGTGAACTGGATGGCGCTGCAATCTGTACCTGCTGGCGCTCAACTAGGCACAGCTTCTTTAAACGCCTGGACTACTGGAACAAAGTGTAAAAGAATCGCTTTTGAAAAGGTTCGATTAGTTCAGTTTTTGATATTTTTTTTTGTAATTTTATTTCGTTTGTCTCCTTCAGCCTTTCACTTTATACTCGTTATTTCATGTCTATTCATAAAAAGTGCTAGAGTCATGCCCAAGTTTGATAACGTTGTTGTTGTTGCTAGGCAGGTGCTGTGACGTGTTTTCTTAGTATTACCTGTTATGTCATCTTACATTTTTCCGTGTTTGTCATATTTCTTGAAGAGATGAAAAGTTTGATTGATAGACTGGGATAAGCTCAACAGAATAGTGTTATGTTTATCAGTTACCGTGACGTCATTAATGTGGCGGCCATATTGGCTGCCATCTTGGATTTTATTTAAAATTCGTTTTTGCTATAATTTGTCTTTGAAAATTAAGTTTAAAGTATGCTGTAATCAAATATTTTTCTTTTTTTGGAACTATTCTATGTGTAATTTTTTTTTACAAAGAAAGTAACGCTCATTTTTCTCAGAAGTGGCTTAGCCTTATGCTATTTATGACGTCATATCTTGCTATTATAGCAACCTTCCATCACCAAATTTGAACGGAATTTGCCCTAGGAATAAAATGAGCAGTTACTGGAAAGAAAAGGCTTTGGTTGAAAATCCGCTTTTTGAAAATATTGGGCAAAACCTGTGCGCTTCTACCAATTCAATTGATGTTAAGTTTCAAGTTCTAAATCTTCAATCTCTTTCTTGCTCTTAATTTGTTTTGACAGAGAAGAACAAGAAAGAGATTAGAATGAAGAAACAGAAATAGAAGAGAAAAGACAGGGCTTTAAAGGACCAGACAGAGTAAACTGAAGCAGCTAATATACAGAAAATTAGATCAACAAAATAAAACAACTTTTGAGAAACAAGGGGGTCAAGTAAATATATTACTTAAAGTAACAGACCGATAAGAAGATGAGAAATAAATCAAGAGTTGAAGAAACTGAAAAAAAGAGCAGTGAACTTATAGTTTATGTCCGAGTTAAATAAACTTGCAGGTAGATTTATTTACAAAGGATGCTGGGAAAAAAAGAAGGGAGTAATAGAAGGGTTTAAAAAGTAAAGAAAAAAAAAACACTGAAACAAATTTTGGTTTGGTTTTCTTGATTGTTTTGTTGTTTTTTTTGTCTGTTTTCCCTAATTTTCGTATTTTGACTCTTGACTCTAAACATGGCCAAAGAAAAATGATTACAAAAACATTCAACTTTCATTTGTAAAATCCTAAGAAATATTTGATTAATCTATGCAAGACTCTCATAAAAAAGTTCCATTGAAATAGTGACACTTCAGGGCTTCGTCCTCAAATTTAAGAGTTGGAGTATGAAAATATCACGCCATAATGTGGTCTAGGAATAAAGGGGTTAATTGTTTTTTAAATATTTATTTCATTTAACACTCCACTTTACCTGCCCTCGATCAGCAACAGTGCTGCTTTCCATGGTAGAAGTTATAGTTTCTCTTCTTTGTCATCTTTGTTCCTTGAAAATATTTTATGCATAATATCATTTGTTCATATTTTTCCTCTTTCAGCGTTTCCAGGCTCTTCCAAATATCTTCGTCACTGTTCGTCACCATGTTCTTAAAAGACCTCAAGACGCTTTGGCCCTGTGGGTAGATGACTTGCGCAAGGACAGTTTTAAACTCTGCGCCAGAGAAGTTAAGAGTTTTGACGGAATTCACAAAAATATCAAAGTCGTAAGTAATAATCTAGATAATTGCTTTCTTCGAAAACTAATTGTTTTGTTAGTAGTGGAGTCTTTTGGAACTAAGTAGAATTGCGCGAACTCTTAACCACAGAACGAATTTTATGCACTGTCATGTTGGTGTTTTCATTAACACCAATATAGATTGTTTTTCGCACAAAACAGTACGCAAAACACTACAATAGCTTATTCAAAATTGCCAAGGCTCAGTATCGTCATACCTTGTAACCGTAGCAACTTTTTTCAACAAAATTTGTAAAAATGTGCCTAGGAAGAAATAAACGTTTAATGAAAACGGTGAAGCTCGATTACTTTTCTATCTCATCAATTCCCCACCCCCTTCTTGTGCATTTGAGAGCAAAACAAAAATTAAATAAGTGGCGTTGTTGGGTACCCTTGCTTTGCTTTCTTCTTGGTTTGAAAGCATAATGACAGTAACAACAAGTGTTACATTTATAGGCTCAAAATTCTTGCTTCATATCTTTACCTCTTCCCTGCAGGATTGGATGGCTTTTACCAAATTGAAGACTGACAATTTCACCTTGACTGATAGTCTCGTGTTTACAAACAACAACTCACCATCAAACAAACAGGACAACGACGCTATTTGCCAGGTAGTGCCATTTGACTCGTGTTTTAAGGCTTGCCTCAACCAATTTGTGGGCTTTAATTTCAAGTACAAACATTTTTCTCATCTTCACTTAGTAAGCAGTTTGATTCTATCTGATGCGGTTTTTCATTGTCTGTCTAAGTCACGTGACTGGCACTGGCCTTCTAACCGTCAAAATGTTTCACCGACCAAGTTAAGAGGCTTAGTCAAACTGTATTCTCCTTATTTTATCGTTTTTGTATGGCTTATAGCCAGAGCTTTAGAGAGCCAGCTTTTAATTATGTCCATGTAAGTTTTGTCGGAAACCGTCAATTAAGAGTCAAGTCACGTGACTTAACAAACATACTAGGAACTGATAAAGCATAGAATGAATACCGTCTTAAAAGGCAGAATGGTGTTAACAAACATCATCTTTAGACCATTTTGACGTCTAAAATTTTCGAATGCTTGATATGCAAATGTATCCAATTTAAAGAAACACGTTTTGTGACGTCATCAGGAGATAGATAATATCTTTGAATATATTGTATCCTTTCAAAAGACAAAGTTCAATTTTCCACAGGTATTTAGTTGGTATGAGAAATGAGATAATGGATGTTAAGATAGTTTTTCTTGGAAAGTGATTACCTATTTCTTATGCTATTTTTTTTATTCTTGGTTTCAGAAAGTCAAGTTCCAGGATGCTTTTTATGCCCCTCCGGTTGTAGTGGTGTCTCCTAGACTTGGTTACAATAACAACAAATCACGTTTCTCGGGATCTGCACCATGCAACTTAGTTACTGCCTGGGTTGAGGTTAGAAACATATAGTCTGCCTATTCTTCCTGTGGTTCTAATAGGGAGAATTTGTTTAAAAGTAAAGAAATGTTGTTTTTACCGTTGTCCTTATACTCACGTTAAAAACTTAGATTTTTCCAACGACGTTTTGCGGGGTATGTAAAAGGAATGAAGGCTATTTAACTGGTTTCACATTTTCATATAATTATGATAGTACATTAAGCTATTTTAACGAATAATAAAACCAGGCTTTCCGCAAAGGAAACGTTCTTAAGATATTTTGTGCAGACTCTTAAGATATTTTGTGCTTTGGAAACTGATCATTTTTATAGTTTTGTACTCGTTTTGTTCTTTAAAACAAAGGTGTAAGATCTAACAGGTTCTTAACAATTCAGTATACGCGATTTCTTACTCTTCTTGCACTAACCCTTGGTTTAACCATCAATAAATCGACAAGTCAGTTGAAATTTGAAAACAAAAAGTATTGTATGACTTTTTTGTTTTACTAACATACATTGAACAGGTTTACTCTAGTTCAACAAAATGCTATATTTTGTGACATGTGAACTTAAAGTATTTCTTTCGCTGTTTTGGAATATGCTTAGAATACGTCTACAAACGAAACAGAAGTGTGTGTGAGAAGCTACAACAATGACGAAAACGATAAGGATATCATAAAGGTCGATTATATGGTAATTGGAGGTACGTAATAAATTATGTAATGTAAAATAACGTAACAGCAATGACTTTTATCTGTAGACAATCACGGTGCTCTCCTAACAATAACAATAACATAATAGTGATTGCCTGGACAATACTAAAATACATATGTTTAATTTCGATCAAATTTTATCCTAAATTGAAGTTTTTTTTTCCTTTGTTTCAAATCAGTCAGGTTATACATTACCAAGCTCCAAAACAAAAGAAAGTGAGATTAAAAGCTAGGTTAAAATTCAGCAATATACGACATATGTGGAACCGCTCATGTGCTTTAGGCTGTGGTCACATTATACTGGATAACGAAAAGCTATACTGTATAGTATAGTGTGTGAACACCAACATGTATCCAACATGTGACTCTCGACTATAGAGATCGGCGAGGCACAGCCTCTCTTTGTCACAACCGCAACAACCGCAATCACGCCGCAACAACCGTTTTTTTTTGTGTGAACAGAAGCCCTACTCGATATGATTTTGGTGGCGGCGCAAAAGCTATTTGTTATAATGTGAAATTAACCTTAACCTTTACCCAGTTCCCTGATAACTCAAAATTCCAGGCTGTTTTATCTATTGACAAATTCGAATTGAATGAATCTGAAATGATGCCCTCTGATTCCCTCACTTGTATGTTTGTCTTTTAGACTTGGATCCTTGTATAGATGTAACATGTCATTATCACAGTCTGTGTAAGGCTTTTGGACCTAATGAT